AAAAAAAAAACACTATTAATTTTTTAAAACTTTTACATATATTTTTGAGAGCAGCTTTTGGAGGGAGTCATATACCACCTTCTTTCACTCGGTATTATACTTCAGTGAGAGAGCATTAGGACCCCAACTTGGGTCAGTGCTCTCAGATGTGCCCAGATGGGCGCGCATACGCAGCCTAATGCTCTCTCACTGAAGTATAATACCGAGTGAAAGAAGGTGTTATATGACTCCCTCCAAAAGCTGCTCTCAAAAATATATGTAAAAGTTTTAAAAATTAATAGGTGTTTTCTATTTACATGATAAATTAAAATTTTCTATTGTTCGTTTTTTAACAGCTCCTTTTTTCTTATTATCCATATTGCACTAATATCACTAATATTGCACTACTATTTTGGTATTATAATATCACTTTTATTTACTCATATATCAGCCTCATCCTGTCCTGTGCAGTAGCTTACTGTTCGGCTCTTCAATTTGGCAGCTCTGGTGCAATCTGTGTGAAGCCCGTCATTTAAACTGGAGCCTGCCAAAAGTACGCCAGTGCGTACGCCACTGTTTTTACGCTCGTTAAGTCGCGCATATGTGCCTATCCATGTAAATTTGAAAGCACTGTACTGAGAGCACGGTCGGAGTTCGGCTTTCACTCCAGTATCCTCTTAAGTATCACGATTATCATTCCATCTTGGCATCAGAAACTACACTGTAACATTTCTTTAATTCATATTCCGATCGATATATTGATTAATTCTGTAAAACTCGCACTGATTCGCGTTTTTATCATCAATGGTTTCACAGCACGCGTACGAAAACGCTAATAGCAGTGATCAAGGCAGGAAGAACAGGGGCCTCGCTGAAAGGAAAACGCAAGTTTACTTTGTATCTGGAGATTCGTGTGGTGCTAAGAAACATTAAGCTCTTCGGCATTTATCATTAACTGTGATTAAACAACGAGTGGATCAAATCAAAGAGGGATTAATTGGAAAAAATAAGTTCGCAAAAAGACATGGCAGAGCAGGCTCCGAAGTACGAGCTCTTGTCGAAGGAGAAGACAAAGGAAATGTTGGAGCTGTTTAAAGGAGAAAGAACTGGTTGGGTGCTGGTGGGCCCGGAAAAGTACTTTTTGGCGTCTAATTATATACAGCAAGGTGCAGGTTTCTATAATTTTAAGGCTCGGCCGGATGACATCTGGGTGGCATCTTATCCAAGATCAGGTTTGTACCGATCTATCATCAATGAAATATTGATGAAAAGAATGATTTATTTGTATATAAATATTTTTTGTGTATGGCAATAGTTTAAAAACATCAGAAAATCATTGGGGTGGACTTCCGAAAAGCTATCACCTCCAATTTGGCTGATATTCAGCCTAAATACTTATTTTTTCTAGTAAATAATATTCCCAAATAAATTTTTGGCGCAAATGCCCCCTCCGACCCCCAACCTCCCTCAAAGGTAAAACTGTTTTTGTTAATTATTTCAGAAAGTATTTATTGTACGAAAAAAGTTGTCAAACAAAAAATGAAGTTCATAAAAAGCTCTACAAATAAGGTCTTATACATATTTTACCTAACTCCAATATTTTAGTCGTTATTATCAAAAAACTTGTAAAAGCCCTTATAAGAAAAGCGAAACACACTGTCTCCACGCATACACTTTCCACGCGAAACGAGGTTCCACATGGGTTTACGAATTTCTACGCAAAGCGAGATTCAATCCAGATCCTATGGCCGAAATTCGCGCGGTAAATGATAATACAATAAAATGGGATGTTTTGATTGGTTAATTCGTGACGCGGCGGATAACGCGACGCGTGACACGCTCAGTGGGAATTCGGCCTACGTGTATAGTTTTTTGATGGTGGAGCTCCCCGCAGGGAGACGGAACACACTGCCTCCAAATTTTTAATAATAACGGCTAAAATATTGGAGTTAGATAAAATATATATAGCACCTTATTTGTAGAGCATTTTATAAGCTTCATTGTTTGTTTGACAACTTTTTCCGTACAATAAACACTTTCTGAAATAATTAACAAAAAATTTTATTTTTGAGGGGGCTGGGAGGCGGAGGGGGCTGGGAGGCGGAGTGGGCATTGGTGCCAAAAATCCATTTGGGAATATTATTTACTAGATAAAATAAGTATTTAGGCTAAAAATCAGCCAAATCGGAGGTGATAGCTTTTCGGAAGTTTATCCAATCATTGTTACAATATTTTTAACTTTAATTCTCAGATATTTTCTACATAATTTCTAATAATTAATAAACCTTAATTTTTAGACGTCTTTCAATTTAGTTTTTTATATAGCTTTCAATTACACAACATGGCAATTAAATAATAAAATTGGTTTTATTTAAAAAAAAAACTGCAGTGAATGTAATGTGTCAATTCAGGTAAATTAAAAGAATACGATCATCGCAGTTTTCACTTTTTTGCAGTTTGTTCGTTTTAATAAAATCAGTCTCATTAATTAAATAAAAGATAATATTTTATTTTTCTCGTTTTTAGGTCACAAACATCGATTTATATATTTTTTTTTTATTTATAGAATCTGTATACTGTGTTTGGATGATAAGAGTTAAACAACTTTAAGTGATAAAAATTAAACGATAAAAGTTATCTTTTTTTATGACATGATAAGAAATACTTATTACATGATAAATGTTAATATTTTCTTTTTTTAGGGACAACATGGACGT